AAGTTAGATGCTTTACTGATACATCCCTACATAAACAAGTGAGCCTCAGGTGGGTGATTAAAGCATTTAAATTAAAACCAGATTTTTCCTTTCATTTTAATAGGAACTTCAAATACAGACAGAGGTGCCTAAAGTTGACCTGTTTGACTGTTTTTCTCCCTCCCCTCTGACCAAAACTGCTATGAAAAGTATGCCACAGAGAGTAGAGGCCACAGTTTCAAAAGGTGAATGCCTAGAGCTATGTATATACAGCTATTTTCAGGCACTTTTAACTGGGTGGCCTGATTTTCAAAAGTTCTGAGTATGCACCACTCCAGCAACGTACATGCTCCATAACTTCCAAAAAATAAAACCCAACTACCTACTTTCATGCTGAATTGTAAATACCCAGTTTTCTACTCAACAACAGATCTACAATTTCTCTTAAAAAAAATACCTACACAAATTGCTTGGCATCAAAGACTTACTCTATCAGAGTATGTGTATGTATATCTGGAAAAGATGTTCATGCCTAGAAAAATGTGGCACCTAAAGGGAAGAGACAGGCAGATGAGTGTCAAAAGAAGAGACACACAGAGGCGACATGCTGTGCCCAAAGACACGCAGCAAGTCAGAACCAACGCCAAGCAGAAAACCTTGAGCCCCAAATCAATTGCCTAACCCGTTACATCATACTGAGCCTCTCTCCTAGTCACAAAAGATATATGCAGCTGTTCAACGAGTATTTCTAAGACAGAGAGAGTTAAAAAAAAAATCCAGGGAAAAGAGAAGGATGCCGTGATCTGTTCTGTAATATCACCCAAAATCAGAAAACCATGCACACAGCAGCAACAACACCTCATATAATAGTAAACAATCAAACATAAATGATTTTGGTTACATGCTGGGGTGAAAACATCACAGCTAAAAGGTTTTACATTGTTTAGAGTATCATACTGTTTAGAATAGTTTCTGTACTTCAAAAAAGACTGTTAGGAGTGAGAGAAACTCAAGAGTTACAGCTTGGCTCAGGCAGGAGTTCCCTCTTCTAGGGGAACCTCTCAAAGTCCAGTTTCTGTATAAATTTTAGATTTGGAGTTAAATTTAAGAATCTAAGAACAAGAAGATTTTCTAAATCATGGAGAAAAGCCAGGAGAAAGTGGTTAAAGAAATGGACTCCAGGGTCTGCAATATCTGAAGTTCAAATATTATCAAAGGAACCTGTAAGTCACTTGAAACAGCAAAGGAAGCTGAGTAGCAGATAGGAACATTAACTAGGTAGAGCACCGAGAGTAGGGAATTTTAAAAGCTTTTAATCTTAAAACTAAAAATGTAATGTAAAAATGTTAATTAGCATCTAGATACAGTGGTTATCTATTACCATCTTAAGCATAATTTAAAGAGTCAGATCTCGCATTCCAAGGCTGTAGGATCACAGCTTTTCAATATGGCATCAGAGAATTTAGTTATTTTTCATGAGGTTAAAGCTTAAAAAGGCTGACATAGCTTCAACCATACAATATCCTGCTAAAAATTAAATTTCCATTAAACAATGCTCCTAATCTTTCACCAAACGTTACAAAACCTGATCTAGAGCACTTTGGTATCAGACGTAATTCTTCATAGATAAGTAAACAAAGAAATATAGATGCTGAGAGAACTCAACTGCTATATCAAAAAAATCTATTCAGTAATTTACTTCAAGATAGACTTGCCAGCTATGTAGGATACAAGTTGGGAATGCAATCTTTATTTTTTCAAATCTTTTAAAAAAGAGTCAGAAGTGAAGGTTTCAGAATGACTAGCTCTTTTAGAGCTTGCACTCAAAATAACATAGAACAGGAAAAAGAGGAAGTCACAGCCCTGGCCAGACTATTGCTTCCAAAAAAGAATCCATTAAAATCAATGCTAAAATAATCTCTTAAAACTTTTTTTTTCAGAAGTCAGTCCCACTTCCTTCCAAGGGAGATACCATTATCTATAGTGAAGAAAATAACAATCTCTGCAAGTCACCTCAGCAACTCCTAATTGCATGCTAGCACACCAGGTTGAACATGAATCCAGGAGCAGGTTGCCCATAGAGGTTGTGCAGTCTCCATCTGTGGAGATACACAAACCCAACTGGACACAAACCTGGGGAACGTGCTCTAGAGGATCCTGATTTGAGCAGGGAGTTGGACTGTATGATCTCAAGAGGTCTCTTCCAACCTCAGTGATTCTGCAAATCTGTGAACCTTGCATTTCCACAAGGACTGAATGTTACAGTGTCAGTCTAGGACTTGGAAAGTCCAGGTTCGACCCTGTGCTTTCTCTCAGACTACACGTACAACTCTTGCCTATTTACTCATTCTCTTTCACCTCAGTTCCTTCAGTTGCCACAGACTGTGGTAGCAGAGACAAGGAGTGTGCCACAAAGTAATCTTTCCAACCCATTCTCAGGAGGCTGGATCAAAGTACTTATCACTTGGACATTTGAATAAAGAGCAAGCTACAGGACCTTCAGAAAGCCTAAAGATGTCCATGAGTCCAGTTTTAGATACTTCAAATAGGGATTCCCTTTTTCAGGAAGAGTAGAGAATTCACTGTCAAAAGGACAGACACGGCATTGACTCAGACATCTGAAAGATAATTACATTTAAAATCAAGCTGTTTATAGACCATGGGGCCCTACTGCTGCAGAACGCAGTCACCTCAGCAACTTCTGCCATTTTGAAAGGTGCAGGCAACACAGAGGGAGGAGGATTCAGCACCATAGAAACTGGAGTCAGCAGAGCATGTGCTCATCCTCCCTTTAATCCAACTGGTGCAAATCTTCAGTTATACAGTTCTTCTAAGGTCTACAGGGTCAAAATGAAGTGTAAACAGAAGGTCACAAATAAAGACTGTACTTCATTTATAGTTACTTTAAAACATAATTCAGATAGAGGTAATGATCACCTTAATGCAAAACCAGTTTGTAAACAAACACTGAATTTTCTTTTGAAAGACATTCAGCAGATTTCTCCTTACACACGTACTCAATCCTTCAGGGTTTATGGCATTCCTTTGGAAGAGAGAATACCTTGCAATGAACTTAACCTATCAGATCAATTTTGTATCCTGTGATAAACTGGGCTCTCTAGTTTCAGCTAAAGACTATGATATTATTTTCTTGGTAATGACTTCCATTTTGAAATTCCAGAACAAAAAAGATGCGGCTCCTAAGACCTCATGCTATTCACAGATTTATTACTTGTTTGAGTTTTCTAAGCACTCATGGCCTTGGGATATGACATGGCAGCTGCAAAGCAGAAAACACAGTTTAGCAGGTGAAAACAAGGAAGGGGAAAAATCCACAACATTGTCTAGAGGGACGTAACTTTTTTCTCACTGCAGATCATTATGTTCAGGAATACAGAGGCTGATTTACTTAGGCCAGAACGAGAAGTCAGCCATTTACTCAGCTCTCCTGAGATTTCCCCTGCTAAAAACAAAGTTGGTTCAAGGTCTCTGTCATGATATTTCTGATGATGAGACAGAAATAAGATGAAATGGGGAGGGGGCGCAGGGGGGACACAGGGACAGTGGAAATATGGTCACTTAACACTGCAGCAGCCAGCAAGAACAGGTGAAGCTTTTCTTTACCTCATTCCTCACCTTCATTAACAGCTTCTCTTTGAAGTGTCAGTTTTAACTGAATACAAACCTAGTTTTTTTCTTCTTCTTCCTTAAGCGTTTATTCCTTTTTCTCATCAGTTTGACCAGAGGAGGCCAAAACATGCACAAGACAAACCACTTGCAAAAACTGGATGCTCTCCTGAACATATTGTTCTCATAGAGATAACAATAATAGTACTGACAGCAATTTAAGAAAAACAAAACAAAACAAAACCAAACCTACTGAATCTCTGCTGCTAGTACAAAATCCCAACCACTTCCTCAGAGCACAGGTTTTCCTCAGCACTTCTCTCCCACTTGCTAGCAGCAATAATAACCACTCCAAAACAAAATCCTTTTAAACTAGTTGAACATTTTCTCCTAAAAAGATTCCAAAAGACAAGGGAGAGTGCTGTGAATTATTAGTCTTATTTTTACATAAAGACACTGCTGATGGGGCCAGGCAGGTCAGATGCAAACAGTGTGTCTATAAATCCACAATTACAAAAATACAAATTGATGACCTTCTTAACTGCCCATCAAGATAGTGATAACTCAATCACAACGGCAATTCCAACAACGCCCCATTAGAACACAGTTCAGCAACCCAATTTCCCCCAAGTAATGAAACAGTTATTCATGAGCTACTATAGATTTAAACTCAAAAGTCAATAAATGTTTCAAGGAGGACAGTAACAGAAGTAGAAAGGGAATGAAAGACTAACTTAACCCAACAGTTACAATGGGTAAAATGATAAGATACTAGAATTATTCAGGTTGAAAAGGCATGACTTCTAAACATGGGAATACAACTCAAATGATGCCAATTAAAGGCAACAGCCTATGTCGAGTAACTAGCCAACTAGCTAGAATTGCATTTATGTTCCTCCTAGCAATTAACTTATGCAACAGGCTTCCAGAGCTTCTCAAAGATCCTAGTTCTATTTACAATTTAATTTCTTTCAGTCCTTTCCAAAACCAGTTTTTCTTCTTCCATAAATCTCCTCCAAGTTCAGGCCTCAGGATTCTTGTGACAAGCTGCTAAATTTGTACAATCATTTCAATTTACCTGCATGCAGAAAAAGGCAATGTTTTCCAGAAGATTTCTGGGGGAGCTCACTGTAGTAAACACGCTCCCCATTAAATCCACATCATATTTTTAACCAGATGCAAACCTCCTTTGTATACATGGAAAAAGAAGAGCATGGGATTCCAGAGGGCAATCCTGTGACACAGGAATGCTTCAGTGTTTGTGCTCCCCTGGACAGATAGAACGCAAGGGGCCCAAAATCACTGCTTTAAACCTCACATCCAGCCTCCAGAAGCCAGCTACTTCCTTCTCTAGTTACAATCCAAGCCTTCAGGGAGAGTAGGTATTTGCCTACCTTGCATGTATGCCTCTATTTGCCGAATTAGCTCATAAGACTTGGATCGGTCCAGAAGCGTACGAATAGCTGGAAGAGGGTCCAGGATAATGGTTTCTGGATGAGCATCAATATACTCCTGCAAAACAAATACACAGGAAAAAAAAAAAAAGTGCATTAGGTTGGCTGAAGAGTACAGAAAAATAATGAGATGGGGAAGAGAATGGACAACATTAAAAACCTTGATGTTCAGTTTCTCTTCAAGGAGAGGCAAACGGACATTGGCAAAGCAGGAAGCCACCAGACAGTCTAGACACTGACATTTGAAACAAACACAAACATGATAGCTAACTGGTTTAACTGGTTTAGGATGTCAAATTTCTTAACTGTTTTAGGATGCCAAATTTCTCCTCTGGACTTACCATCAGCAGCGAAACCTGTCCTGCAACAACATCAACTCAGAAGGAAGTCAGTGAGGAAGCCAGTGGCAAAGTGCCACAGTAACAGCTGTGAGCAGGGCTGAGAAAAGCAATTAGGAGAAGAAAGATGACACGCTGCTATCTTGAGGTCAGCCTTGCATTGAATTACTGCACGTGAACATCACAACTGTCTGACCTAAGCTCAGAACTACATCTGGGTTCTTTAATGTTGTTATTATTGCTGTCCTTTAGCTGGGCTGAAGACAGTGTTAAGAGTTGGACGATAAGGGCTGGAATTTTTCTTGGCAGAGCTGAAGAGATTGCTGTTTCACTCTGTCTTCATTTAGTTTTGAAAGCATGTATCTTGCTACTTCTCTAAGTTCATAATTTCCTCTCCTGACTACAAGAACAAAGCAAAGTTAATGTTCTCATGGATCTTCATCTTGGGAATTCAATTCCCCGTTCACTGAGGTCATTACTGCATCTTGGCCATGAACAGACACAGCTGCCAGGTACTGACCTTGCAAACCCAGCAAAACTTCCTTCTGTTTCTCAGAAGAGAAGTTGAGTTCCTTCATCATTGCCCCAATCTGGCCCCATAAAGTCAATGGGACAAACAAGCATCCGTCTTACCCTATTCAAAATTAGACAAACATTTCCAAAGTTAGCATCTGCCTTTGTTTTACCCAACTTCCCAAAGCCATCTTTACGTTTCCACTCATTTCTTTAAATTAATTTATGCAAATGCACGGTAAACGCTCTTGCAAGTAATGGTCTTCCATGAAGTCCTACTTCCTTTAAGTTGGTTACTTCAGAGAACACAACATACTCCAAAAGATAGGACTATGATGAGGTGGCCTCAGGAGATGCAGTTTGCTAGATACAGAGTTGGAGAGAAAAGAATGGCATCATCTGTTCCTAGCAAGTGATTTCGCTCCAGACACTGACTGGGGAAGCAGGCTTCCTCCTCCTACTCCTCCTAGCACTGGCAAACTGTTGCTTTCTGCTGACTACATAGTCTGAGCTGATGGCTTGTTAAAACAGGATTATTCTTTTGAGGCTAAGAGGATCCAGCATTGCATTTTAATGAACCCACTAAATCACCCACAGTATACAAGTAGCTCTCCTTCACAGGGTATGAGGCACCCTTCAGTGGCAGTACGTGTGTCTGATGTATTTACTAATCCCTGCAGAACACAAAGAGTGAATTCCCCAAAGATATGCTCAATCTTGCTGCCACTTGGGAACAGTAAGGGACAGAGCCTTTTGCACAATCAGTCATCAAGACTGTCAGACCGAGCTGCTGTCTCACCCTTGTAGTGTAGCCTGGATAAAAAGCCTCTTCAGCTCACTGGAGCAGAAGCTGGGTTCATTTCAAGTCATTAATACCCGGAACATACAGAGAACAGTTTTCATGAGTCTCCTGTCCCCAGTACTTCCAGAGTCTCAAGCAGAGCAGTCAGCTTTCAAATAAAGAAAAAATTTTTTTTTTAAGTGATAGAGTAACTTGTTACCTAATGCATCTTAAACACCTACAAGTGTCTATGCATACGTGCCCTTTTACACAGCAGCTAAAAGACACCTTGTGGAGCTAGGATGATCCAGTGATTAGGGTATTAGCTTAAACTTGCTGATCACGAAACTGTACTCAAGTATCTCAACATATCCAAAGCATAACAAGATAGCTCTTTTAGCCCCTCTGTGCCTCAGCTTAGAAGACAGGGAGCTACCACAGTGTGCATCTTCATGAGCACACCAAGAGGATGAGCACATTACAGCCAGCCAGTACCCTGGCGGGGCAGAGGGTAAGTACGGACAGTAACCAGACTGAACAAGCCACAGTTCTGAAACGTGACTTCAGCAGAGATCTGACACCAAACATCCCACGGTGTTTCTACCAACTCTTCCTCTCACACTGTGGTGACCACCCCTCCTCAACCAGTCTCTGGTTGCACCTTGAATTCAAGCTCCCCATACTCCTGGCCCAGCCCCTACTCTGTACGTACTAATCCTACCCCTCACACATACATTCATCCTGCCTGTGGCTTCCCATCCTCTTCCCTCCCCTCCAAGGAGGAAATGATTTTTCCCTCTCCTAGCTCCTTGTGCACCTTCCCAAATCTTCCTTATGCTCACACCAGCATTGAGGACTACCCTCACTTCCCTGGGTTAGGTGTGTTCCACTTGTTATTTTGGTTCACGTTACTCTAAGTATTTCCAGAGGGAACCTTGCTTTTTTATGCCTTCTTTAAGGAACTTCACAGTGCTTAATTTATAATGATAATAGCTTTAAACCATATTAGAAGATCGTCCAAGCAGTAAGCTTGACACAGCATAACGAAGTTTAACAGGAATGAAGGCATGATCCCCAGGCCATTCTACACCAGGCAACATGTCAACAGAAGTGAGCATCTTAGCTGACTTTCCAGTGACCGATTTTTCATTCTGTTGCCTTAAAGAGCCTCCAAAAAGCTCTGTAAGGCAAACACAAAATAACCAATAAAGATGAAGGAAGTGGAGGCTGTTCTCCAGCAGTCCTCTGGACAAACTACTCTAATACTGAGAAGAACTGCACTGAATGTAAGGTGACAGACCCTTCATGCACACACAAAGGAGCCTGAACATGAGCCTTCTTTATAAAACAAGGAAATTTCTCAGCATCAAACCTACTTCAGGTGCTATTCTCCAGCTCTTCTCCATTTACAGGCTTAGGTATTTGGACAGCCAAAGGGCACAGGAATGGCAAAACTCAAAGATTGTCAGTAGGGCAATGAAGATCTGCATCATCTGAGTAAAGGAAAGGACTGGGACCTGAAGTAAGTGTCTCCTAGAGCTAATCTGGGGATGGGCTACAGATCTCTCATTTTAACTGAATCTAGAAATGGCCTCCCCTTTGAAGCAAAGGAGTCTGTCAATGCAGAACAAGGTCAATGTATTTATATAGGTCACCTCTACTTGAACACAGGTAGTGGTTAACTGCTGCAGCTGTTTAGGGGACAGGAACATCAAAATGCCCTCAAGTCCTTATAACTCTGCATCACTTCTCAGGTATTGTGTGTTGCTTGGACTTCCATCACAAAGCATTAACTCTGCGTTCAAAAACAGAACCATCAAGCTGCACCAGGATCGCCAAAGCAAATCACCCAGCCTCCCCTTGGGCATGTACGCTACCAACACTTTCCCAGTCTCTCACACCTCGCATCAGTACATCACCAGCACATATGAAAAAAGAGTTCCAATATCTATGCGCAGAAAACTACTTAAAATAAATAACTTAAAAATCTAAACCTTAACACCAATTCCCCACAAAAGGAAATTACAATAAGAAAAATCAATTTTGTTAGCTTCACAGGAACAATTATGGTAGCCAATGCGAAACCCTTCATAAACTTTGATTCTTTACTAGGAACTGCTGCACACTCAGGCATCACGTTTTACTGAATATGTAACTGTGAAGATCACCTAACAGACTGGAAAACTCTTGATGTAGCCTAAGTAGCAGCACTCTTCCCACGGCATAGAATGGCTCCACTACCTGAAATACAGATCTGGATAAACTTGAAGGGTTTGTGTCTAAGGATTTTGATAGCAGAGGAGCTACTACAGATAAGAACTTGAAAACGGAGCAGCTGCAGAAGGAAACGAGAAACACTGAATCCAAGAGGTAGCTTTCAGTACAGCACAACCTTTCAACTTTGAATGTTCAACTCTTCTCCAGTCATTCCAACAAAACAACTTTACACTCTCCTTTGGTAGATTTACCAGACTGGTATCCAACAGCAGACTCCAACAACCCAAGCAACAATCTGGAGGATATTTATGCTTCCCAATAATATTTTGAAAGGCCTCTGTCCTTGGGCTGCAGTTCAGCTTGACCCAGACAACGTCTATGTTTTCCTCTTTATAATCTTTGACATAATAAAAGCAAACAAGAAGAAACAAGGACTTTTAGCAGATCCTCCTTTGTTTGTATTCCAGGCTTGGTTCAGTCCTGCTCTGTACCAGCCCCGTTACTGGCAGAAGGCCAGCAATGAAACTTGAAATCAAAGAGAGACCAAGTATTTCATGTTCCCTATTAAATACCTCCAGATATAACCTAGAGATTTAAAAAACAAAACCAAAACTCAAACTGTTCTTGAGAAGTCTCCGTATAGATGAGAATAGAGTTGTCATTTTACTCAAAAGTAGCTAATGATTTATTTTTTTTAGTATTTAACAGCAAGCTGATATAGGATCTACTGCAAATATTAGGTCATTAGATGATACGAAAGACTCACTGACTCATTGACTTGATTTTATTACCAAGTAATAAAACTTCTATAATCTTCTGTTTAATATTAAACAAAAGTTCCATATTAAACAAAAAATGTTAGCAAATGAAACAATAACAGTGTTTGGATTTGTGTTTTCCCATGTGCAGAAATATGAAGAGGATCACTTGTAAGAACAGACCAACATTTTCCAAGGGGAAAACAGATACAAAGACAGACATAAGCTTGTCCAAAAAGCTTGCATCAGATTCAGACTTAAAAGTTCCTTTTTGTTGTCTTGGGTTGTGATCGTCTCTTTTCACAAACACCTCCTTCCAAAAGCAAAGGTGTAGGCAAGTTGGATCTTGAACTCATCTCAAAATTGTTTGTCTCTAAATCTAAAAGAGGTTCCTGCAGTTGTCAGGAGGGATGAGGGGGGGCAGCAAGGGGAAGTGGGGACAGATCTTCTC